CCCGGGCCCTCCCTAGGGGTAAGGGGGGGGGGGGGGGGGGGGGGGCATAGACAATGGATCGGGGGTGGACACAGGCATTGTGTTAGGAGGGGGTCTGTGGGGCCATGTGCACCCACAGCAGGCAAGGGGTTGCAGACTGGCATGGGTAGCCACCTCTGCAACCCAGTGGGCATGACCCAACACAGGAGGGCAGGGTGGGGCAGGGAGACTCGTTGCTGCCATCACTGGGACCCCTGCATCAGCTGTGCTGCCAGCAGCATGAGGAGTAACAGATGGGACTGGGGGCATGCTGTCCTCACCTCCTCCCGCTGCCAGTCACTGGCATACTGGGCTGTGTCTCTACCCTGCCACCATGTCCTGGCCACCGCTGCCACTCCCCTCAGGCTGCAGCTTTACCACAGAGGGGAGATGGGGTGGCAGGCAGCATGCATGGCCTGAGAGAAGTAGTAGTACCCTTTCTGCTGTATTGGGTCCCTACAATGTGTGCTTTTCTTTAGGATTACCAAATTTAAGGGCTTCAACTTAGCAAAATTCTTCCATGTGAGCAGTTATTATATTATATTTTATAATCACTGCAACAGAGTTTGTGAGAAAACACAGTAACCCAGTTTGCATTTATATTTGTTCTAATGAAAAATGTTGTTTAAATGAATGTTTTCAATGCATCATACTCTTCACGGATAAATGGTAAATCAGATGCCTATTTGGATACTTAAAATGGATTCTATAATACCTGTGGAAACTACCACACATTTTTATCACATCATAAAACAGACATACCACAAATGGTTAAAACATCATTTGGGCTCTAGGACGTGCTCTTTATGGGCATCTTCTATATGTGCTACATGATTATTAAAATAGGAAATAAACAAAGGAGCTCAAATGTCATTTCAGTTACATTGAACTTCTATATTTCCTTTTAGATTACCGACATAATGGGAGAGACCTTCAGAGTTCAACACTATCAGTGCCAGAACAAGTGATGTCATCTAATCATTGCTCTCGGTCAGGGTCCCCTCATCGTGGAGATAGTATAGGACGGACTAGGTCATGGTCTCCTAGTGTCCCTCCTCCACAAAGGTAAATCATTGCACAGGTTTGATGCCTGCAAGGCATAAAATGAAGTGCTGTTGGAATCTGTGAGGATATCAGAGATAAATATGCACTGCACAAAGATAGTGAGTGGCAGATGCATTGGTTTGCTATTATGAAATAATACTAATTTATAAGTTATACTAATTTATAAGTTATATTTTCTTGTTATTGATTTGATCAGAAGTACAATACAATACAATCTGAAATGAGTGGGGTTTTAGGGGGTTTCTAAAAGTTATTTTCTACCTTGGAAAGATATACAAGGTTGAATGTTTATGATTAATCATTTTGTCCTTTAAATCAATTTGGTAATGGCTATTTTTTACTACTGTCTCTCTGCATGAATAAGCTTAAATGGTTGGAGTAGAGAAAAAGTAACCTGAGGACTCTAGAGGACTCAAAATACTCTTAAAGAATAATCTGGTTCAGCATGGACAGACATTACCTTCATGAGAGTTTTTCTTTAGGAGACAGAAAATTGGATGTGTAAAATGGATTTTTTGTTGGTGTTACCAATATCTAGGACCAGTCTTCAGCTGGTGTGATTCAGCAGAGCTCTACTGAAGTTGGAGTTAGAGATAGATATATGTATGCTTTCTCCCTAGAGCCATGCTGTTTTTCTTCATTTTTATTTTCCATTTTATCCATTTTCATCATTTTAAACTAATTTTAACCTATTAAAATCCTATTCCTTTATATAGCGATTCACTTTTTTCCTCACTAACAATACAGACTACTTTCCTCCCAATTATTGATAGGCAAGTAACATCATATGAGTTGTTATACACTAGTGCTGTGTGAAATTTCGGCAGCCATTTTGTTTCAGAGGTGTTTCAGCCTGAGGCACCTGAAACACCAACTCTGAAATGAAACAGAAGACTCTGAAACATCTCCGAAATGAAACAAAACCATCCAAAACATTTCATAGGTTTTGGATGTTTCAGAGCTGGGCTTGCAGGGAAATGGAAACTGAGAAGAGGGACAGAAGGACTGCTCTGATATCGACATTTGTAGCTGGCCAGTGTCTGCAACCTGTCCCTGAGGTCCCTTCCAATCCCAGTGCTCTGGGGTTGAGACAGCAGCTTGCTGTCATCCTGCTTGCAGATCTGGGGGCCAACACCCACGGGGAAGAGTCTGGCACAGCCCTGCAGCCCTCCTGGGGGGCATGGGGCGCTGGATCTGTGCACTGGATGACAGCATGCTGCCACTGCTGACTGGGGCCAGCACCAGCACCCAAGTCTGCTCAGTGCAGCCTGCCCTGAGCACAGCTGGGGGAGCCACAGGAGAAGCCCCCATGGCTGCCCTGACTGGCCCCATCCCCCTCCTGGCACTTAAAAAAAAAAAAAAAAGCCCCGCACTCACTGGATGTAGCAGGGACTGTAGGGGCTCTGGGGCCACATGGCAGAGCACCTCTGTACAGCCTCCATTCCCCGATCTCCCCCCTACCCAGTCCTGCCACTGATGGGTCCCCCACACCTGGCCCCAGCATCTCAGATCTTAAAAAAAAAGCCCCACAGTCACCAGCTCCCAGATAGTGCTCAGTGCCCTGCCGAGCTGCGCTGCACCCACATCATGGGGCAGCTGCTGCACAGGTGCCAGGTGGGGAGGAGATCCCCACTGCCCCCTACTGGCCTGTACTGCACAGAGGGACTCGGCCATGAGCCCTCAGAGGCCCCAATCACCACTGCCAGGGCTGGTGACTGTAGGGCTTTTTTTTTTTTTAATTGCCGGAACGAGGCTGGGGCTGGGCGGGGGATGGGGCCAGGCAGGGCAGCCATGGGGGCTTCTACCACAGCTCTCCCCCCCTCCCCGGGGAGAGGCAGGCACAGCTGGAGGAGCTGCGGGAGAACCTTCAGCAGCCCAGCCATACCTGCCTTTCCCTGGCTGATCCAAATGTCTGAAACAGTGTCAAAATTCTGGAACAGATTTGGCCAAATCAAAACGGAGCAGTGATCCAAAACACTGAAACTAATCACTGTCCTCCAAAATGGCCAAATCCAAAATTGAAATGAGACATGGCTGTTTTGCACAGCCCTATTATACACCATCACACAAAAGTAACTGATTTTAGGTTTGCACATAAAAATCCAATAAAAGAGATATGACAGTAGTATAAATAAAACCTTACTTAATAAGTCTCTAAATACATGCAGACAGGGGCTTAATTTGATTCTAGTTATACCATATTAAACTAGTATCATTCTATTAACTTTAGTGAGGTTACTTCTGATTTACACAGGCATAAATGTAGTCAGAACCAGACTCTGCGTGTTTGTATATTCATTAGCCAGAGCTGTAGGGTAGATCTGTAATTAAGGCTGCTTGAAGCTTTCCATTATAAGATCTTCTTTTCAGTTGCTTATAGCTTTGCCCAAGATTAACTACTTAATGTGAATTATGTTCATGATCGCTGTCTTTCAGGTTGTCTTTTTTAAAACTTTCAGCAAAAATGGTTCAGCCATTTCTTAGATTGAGTTTAGAATAAAATATGTAGTTTTACACATTATTTTCCCTATCTTTAAAAAAAAATTAAGTGTCTAGGGGATTTGGCATTGGAACTCATCACTTGGTAGAGGCACAGTCCTGGTGTCAAAGAGATGTCTTTTGTTGGCCTAATGGGAGTCTAATTTGTCCAAATAATTAGCCTCTGATTATCACCATGTGCATATGATAACTACAAGTTTAGTTTTGCTGTTAAGATCATTCTTTCTCCATTGATCATGGTATAGACTTGAATAATTCCTTATATGACATTTGTAATGAGTTGCCTACATCGTAGACTAGAGGTCTGGCACAAGATTCAGAGGCAGAAGTTACTAATACCCAAGAGTTATAGTTTCAGTTCCTTCATTGGCTCACTTTAATAACTATGTATACTTTGCCATGCTTATAACTGAACAATGTTTCCTGCTAACAGACAAAAAGTATCCCCCTGAAGTCCTATTTTAGTAGCATAGGAACAGAGAAAGTGTGTATGGTTATTTATGGTACAAGGGGGTTTAGAACAAAAATCTATAATGTAGTAGACTAAAGTCTGTTCTGCCATATTTATACAATAGGCTGTGCTATAAAAAGGTCAAGAATAGAACTTAGTATTCTGCCTTCTAACATTTCTATGAGATACCCTCAATGTCTGTGAGGGATATGGTAAAGTATGTTGTTGTCTAATTGCTTTTTCATATAAGGGATAAGAGTCTGTTATGGTTCCAGTTATTCCTTTAGTTTAAAGTGCAAGAAATCTTATTACTCTTAAGAATTCATATTGTGATACTACAACTTGGTTGAGTCCCATTGTGCTAGGTACAAGCCTGTACCACTCTGTCAGCAAAGGTCATCTTGACAAATATAATGGATCAAATCACTTTGTCCACTAAAACTGCAATATTTCTGGTGCAATAGTGATGTATTTTTCCTCTGAAATATTGAAAGCCATTATGCCAAAAATTCACCGTGAGGCTTAAAATTGTGTGGCAATACAAGACAGTTATGTTAATGCATCTTACGGCTGACATTTCATTAACAACTAATTTTATAAGTCAGTAAAAAGGACATGGTTCACTACCCTCCATTTGATGTCACTTGTTTCCACAGTAGGAATGTGGAACAGGGAACTCGAGGGACACGATCTACTCCTGCACATTACAATACCATGAACCGAATGGATAGACATCGTGGATTAGATGACCACTACTCCCCAGACAGAGAGAGGTAAATATAGTGCAGGAATTAGAAATAGGTTTATATGATAGTCATAAAAAATAAAATATTTCAATGCATTATAATATTCCTAAAATTAAGTACACTAAAGTAAATAATAGAAATACCCTGCTTTGGTTTGGTATGATATAAATGTATCAAAAAATCAGTGTACACATGACTTTCAGAACTGTCATGTTATTTTTCTTCTGAGGAGGAGAAAATGCAGCTCTAAGAAAATTCTGTTATGCAGGTGGCAAATGGATTCACTGCATTTTGGCTGTGTGTAGATGAAACGAGGTGCATGTGTGCACAAGACTTTAAAGTGGGCTAAATGCTTTTGCATCACTTTAAAGGTGTTGGTGTTTGTACACCTCGGTGGTATATTGTGCATTAGGTGGCGTAATGCACCTTAAATGACTTGGGGCGCAGCAAACAAAAACTCCTCCAGGGAGTTTTAGTTTGCTGCCCTACTAACCATCTGCAAAGCAAAACACCAGGCTCTCTGCAGCTCAGGGGCTCTCCAGGAAGCCCGTGTAGGCAGCCTGACAGCAGCCCAGGAAGACAGGTTCTGCCCAAGAGAGGGAAAAAAAAAGTGGCAAGCCTGATCTCTCTTTTCCACCCCCCTGGAGCCTGCCTGCCTGCCTGCCTGAGCTGCGTGGGGTCCAGTGCTTCCCTCCATGGCTGCAGTGCCCCTTGGGACTGCCTGGGCTGGGTGCCTGTGGGCGAGTGCCACCTGGATGGGTGTGTGGGGGGTGCAGCTGCCGGGGAGGGAAGCACCAGCCCCCCTCGCCACAGCCCAGGGACCTCTCTGCCTGCCAGCAGCTCGCTCTCCCCTCCCCACCACCGGAGAGGCAGGTAAGTTGGGTGTATCCATGACGCGGGTGTTTAATTGGCCCTAAATTGAAGTGATGTTTTTAAAAACCCACCACTTCAATTTAGGGTCCCCGTTTTGTCTACACATGCCCATAGTCATTTTAACTATTTTATTTTTTAACAAGTGTTTACTGTATTTTTAAGGACTCTAAACTGATGGCTATTTTGAAAAATATGTTGCACTAGTCTTAATTGATGATCTATATAAAGAACATAGAAAGGACATACTTTGAACTCAATATTTATGTAAAACTACTATTGAGTAGTAGGCATCAGTCTGTCTTGTGAGACAATAGAATGATGCAAAATTAGACATCAACTTGCTGAATGTAATCCTTACTAGAAAGATAAAGGTAAGCTGGAGTGAACTCTCTGGGGTGCAAAATGGTTGAAGTAAAATGCACATAAGAAAAGTAGAATATGACACTAACCATTCTTATCTGTTCTTAGCTTTAGGAACCATTTACTAATAAAATCAATTGCAGTGGCACTGTAGTTGAGATGAAAGTTGAATTCTGTGTGTCTAGCTTTCATATCTTACCATGATAAACATTTTTGCCTAACAGAACTTGGTAAATTGTGACCTGAGATGTACTAACCTATTGGAATTTTAATGGAGCAGAAGTGAGTCACAGGTCATAGTTGGCTAAAATAGCTAATTTTGCTGCATTACC